GGCCTGCTACTGTCAGAACAGGAGGAAGGCGCTTGGCTCCATGTCCCATGGCAGATCGGGCTCTGTGGGGAATGGCTACCCCCTCCACTGGCCTGGCCCGCAGGCCTTCTGCTGGCTGACTGCACGAGGTCACATGGGCACAGGTGACATCTTGCTTGCTCTTTTTTACTTGCAGCTGCTGCAAAGCTAAATCTCTTGCACCAACCCCCCTCCCCCAACAGGGGCCCTTCTGTTAACAAGAATCTCATGTTAGGCATAAATAACCTGGTCCCCTACTGCACACCTATGCTCTCGCTGACCACCCCCCCCCCATGGTGAGCCCTGGGCAAAGCAGCTTGCAAGTCCATGCCCAGTGAACAGGTGGCAGGTACCCTGACACAAATAATGCTCCCTGACCTGAGCTTCTCCCTTTGCCACCCTCCAATCAGGAGAAAGGGAAGGAAAAGAAAAACTCAGAAACCTGAAGGTTGTTTGGAGTTTATTCTCTTAAATAAGAATGTAACATTTGTTAAAAAAAAATTAAAAGCACAACACCTTGGTTTCACAGTAACGGCAAAAACAAAGTTACACAGTTAAATTAAAAACTCACAAAGAAACACACCAAAAACTCACAACAGCACAGGTTCAAAACAAGGGCAAAAATGAAGGTGGAAGAAGGGCCAGAAGTGGACAGGTGGCGTGTTCCTTGGCACAGCTAATCCTCTCTGGCTGGGCTCTCTGTGTGGCTGCTGTGGGGATCCAGCTTGAGGCTTCCCCTCCTGCCCCTACCCTGGGCTGAATGGCTCAGGAGAAAAATGAACCCCTCAATGCCCTGGCCAGACCTTCAAGGCCATGGTGGGGCCCCTTTTAGGAGAGGAATGCTCCAATGTCCTGCAGAAAACAGCTGGAGACAGGCTGAACAGCAGAAGACAGCAGATACAAAATAACAAGGCCAGTGGAGCCAGTATACAAGCCTGGCAGCCCAGCAGAGGGGAGGTGGATACCCTTCTGGCAACAGACCCTGGCCTTCCCAGTTTGCTCTTGGGTCCAGTTCCTGAGGTTGGGGTGCATGGCTTACTTTCTGGGACACCCACCCCTTACTCTCCACATGCCAGACTGCTGTGGTCCCTCAGATTCTGGAACACAAGGCTAGGCCAAGGGCATGGGTCCCAGTGTGAGGCTCCCTTGGTTCCCAGAAACAAGAGACAGAAGCTTTAGAAGCAGCTTCATCAGCATTATTATTACTATTATTTAGGGTACATTATATAAGCATCTACCCATATAGCTAATTAAATCTGTATACATATAAATGTGTACATATAAACATTCACACATCACCACCAAAGATGATTCTTGGGGTAGGGTGGGGAGATAAGCTAGATTGCAGATTCCTCTTTGCTCTACTAAAAGGCCTTCCAGAAATGACTGTAAGGAAAGAGGCCCCGGGAAGCAGCAAGAATTCCTAACTTCCCTCTGTCAGATAGGGACCCCAGGGGTGAATATAATTCCTTGTAGTGCTTGGGGATTCTTCTAGTGGGTGAGGGAAACGCCTGCATCTCCCAAGGGACCATTCAGGGTCCAAGCTACAGCATCTAATGGTTATCATGCAAGGGTGTCTAGGGGCAGGACGTTGACAACTGCCACTTCTGGTGTGCAGCTTTTTAAGTTCAGATATTCTTTTCCTGAAGATGACAGAACACGGATGTACTCCCTCCCCCACCATCTGTCACCTGTCATCTGCATGCTAGACAGCCTGAATGGCAACGTGAACAGATGGGAAGGTAAGCAAACCCGACTTGTTCAGGAACAACTTGAACTTCACTGGGTTAATGCTTTTTTTAAGGAATGCTCTGACAATCTCTCTGCCGCCTGTTCCAGATGAGGGACACTCCCGGAGAAAACCCTCTCCTCCCTTCTGGTTATACCCACAGCCTCCAGGCTTTGTTTACTGGTTATCCACTGGATTTGATAGAATGGGAGTTTCCTGGGGCAAAAAAGAATCCAGGGGACCTGCAACCGAGACTCTCATGTACGAGGGCAAAATGATCCTCCCATTAGGGGTTTCTCTTTCTCTGCCTGCTGTTGTTCAAACTTTTTGTAAAATTAGAGTAGTTACTACGAGCCCAAGGTAAGAAAATCTGTGCCAGGTCCACTAATCTGTAGCAGTAAGTGTAAGCTTGGAAACAAAGTGTTTACAGACTTGAGAACAGAAAAGAGGATCTCTATGTTAAAAGCATGTTACAAACAAAAATACTGTAAACAATGATGCCTCCCCCAAACACTAAGCTAGGCAGAAGTTACACGTTAGGTTACCAGAGAAAGACACCACTTTAAAACAGGCCTACGGTGGGTTCTTTGAACTTGTGGATTATATTTAGATTTTTGTCTTTTTGGCAACAGCAAGTATTCTGGCAAATGGGAAAGCGCTTAAGAGAAGAGAGAGAATTCTCACCAAATAAAAAGGAGACGAAGGCTGAGCAGAGCCTATAGTTATGGCTTTTCCAACTCTCCCTCCTGGGGGAATGGGGGTCTAGAGGGATCCCCACACACAACAGAATCCAGTGCATTCCTCTTTCGCTTCTCCTGGTTAGAGTGCGGTGGAGAAGCCGTGCCTGGGTCCGGTTAACAGGTGCTCTCTGTGACACACGTTCTGAGACCCTGAAACACCTGAGCTTTTCTGAAGCTTTTCAGAAGGAAATCTAGGTAAGTGATCAAAGCTTTAGTTCAGGATTTAGAGAAGGGAATCTCTTTCACAGGAGAAAAAGAAACCTATTTCATGCCAACTATGGAACATTACCTATAATTCTGTTCCTTTTCTACCCTTTTCATGGCTAACAATAGAGTGCACAGGGCAAGTGCTGGTGCTTGGAGGCCAGTACAGGACTCGGAGCTGTAATTCCCAAAGGCTTATGGCTCCAGAGACACGTCCTATGGAAACCCCACCCGCCCTAAGCTCTCTGACCCTCCCATGGCCTAGAAGGCCCTTAAACTGCGGGGACAGAGCCTGCCTCATTTACCTTAAGGCTTTCAGCTGTGACTCCTTGGCGACACCATATATTGAAGCCCCTGTGCTATACCAGGCAAGTTACCATCTGGTCAGGATCGAGAACCCTAGGGATTGAGCTGCCCTCGGGGTCTGTTCTTTTCTTGACTTAAATTCTTTAACCCCACTGCCACTCTCATCTTCTCTCCCTGCTTTGCAGAACGTCCTTCTTCTCTAAGGAAACCTCCATTCTTCAGAACCTCTAAAAACCTGAAATTCATTATACCTTCGACTAGACAGTGAGAACGGCAATCTGAACAGAGGGGAAGGTGAGCAAACCCCCCTTGTTCAGGAACAATTTGATCTTTGTTGAGTAATTTTTTTTTTTTAAGACTGCTCTGTACCCCATACCCAGATAGAATGTTTACATTCTTTTAGTTGTTCTACTGAAAAGTCAGGTTCCTGGGAAAATCCATCCCTGCTGGAACAAGGCCCAGGCTAATAAGGTAGCGCTCTCCCCTCATCAGATGCATGTTCTATAGCATAACACTGAAGTCTCTACCTAGGTTCCTTTGGTTATTTTTTCTCTGCCATTGATTCCACCCAGGCTCTGAGTGTCAACTGCAAAGAGCTGTCAGCACTTCATGAGAAAGGCAGATTGTAAGGGTCTTCAAGATTGTAGATGGTTTAAAAGTCATTTGTGGCTTAAATGTGGCTATAAAATGTTGGTCCCACTTGCAGGGCACTGGCAAAATTTCCTCAGATTATAACAAGAGCCCATGTCACAGCAGAAGTCAAGTTCGCCTAGCCCTGGTGGGGTTTGCTGTATCTCTACCTTCAGAACATGACGCCCAGGGCACACTCCCTACCCTCTGGCACATTCGCCCTCTCCCAGCATGAGCACCACACAGCTTACATGACATAGCTTGTAAGGACGGGAAAAGATGCAACTCTGGGAACCTCTCACTGAAGGCCAAGTGGAGAATTCTTCCCCTTTCTCATCATGGAAATTGTCCTCCCAACTCCTCCATGGTTTCTGGCATTGGCTGACAAGTTTTAGTTTTTCTATGGGTTTGTATATGGCTGCTTGAGACATAGTTGAACAAGAGTAAAGTGCAACGAAGAGATATGTGGCCCTGCTGACTCACTCTCTCACCTACACAGCGACCCTGGGTGGTGGACAATTTGGCGCTGCATTTGGGGCATCAGGACTATACTAGATTGTGGACCTGTGGACACATCTCACAGGCTAGCTTTACGTGGAACTGGGAGAGGTAATTCGAAGGAAAAGAGCAACGTATTCCCAACAGGCCTCGTGCCCACGAGCCCTTCCTGTCCTGCACGGCTATGACCAGAAGAAGCATGTTTAGAGGTAGAGATGGCATCATCACTCCCGACACAAGGAAGAGGTAAGGAAAGTGGGACGAATTTGGGCTTGATCCTTACTAGAAGCTTGAATGCCCCTGAGGGGTCAGGACAGGGCATGCCCTCTGGTGGTGCAGGCCACACGAGAGAGCAGCAACAGCTCATCCAGACACCTCAACAAGGAGCAGGACGCAAGAACGTCAAGTGCAGGTGAACACGAATCCAGACCACGGGACCTCAGTCATCACAGCGCCATGCTGTCACAGAAGGCCTGGCAACTCGGGATTGTCGGTGGGTCAGTGGCAGGAGCAGCTGTTCTGAGCTCCTGTGTACCCACACAGGACCTGGACCTCCCGCCCGACGTGTGTGATGGGTGTGGGTGGGGCTACGGGACAGTACCATGGCCTCTGCCGCCTCAGACAGCGCCCTCACTGGCTCACGGTCTGCCAGTGGAACTCCCCTCCGATCTGCACCAGCACCTCCGACAGGCCATACAGAAAGGGGACCCCGAACGCGAGCAGCTGGCACATGAAAAAGGAGTCCAAAGGGTTTTGGGCCACTTGGTGCCCGATTGAAGAAATGTTGCTTTGGAGGTGCTGGCTCATCCCCTTGGCCTTGTCACAGAGGCCGAGGGAGTGACGCGCCACCCAGCCAAACAAGGAAGTGAGGCTACCTGGGGTTCTCTCAGCCGAGCTGGCCACGGCGCTGGCCCGTCCATTTGCGTCTGCAGTGGGGCCATCCTGCAGGGGTCCCTTGGCCTCCTAGGAAAGCCCACAGGAAAAAAAGAGTGACCGACTGATCCACTCAAACCTCATGAGGCACTGATGGTCTCACCAGCTGGTTTGCTTCTGCTGACCTCACCAGGCAACCCTGAGCTGCGTGCTTCACATAGTAAGTCTTTCTTTAAGAAAACCGGATGTAATTCACATGGAAGTCACCAGGAGTCAAAGTTTACATCCCCCTAAATAGGCCACTTCCTTCAAGTCCTCTTGCAGTCACCAGCAGCCTCCCACAGACTATAATTATTAGCCTGTGTGCAGACAAGTGAGAGCCGTGTGCTGAGGAGATTACTGGGTTCACCTTGACAAAGACAGGTGGAAGAGTCTCTCATTAAAAACAACAAAAAAAGTGGGAAAAATGTTCTTAGAGAAGTAACTCACAGAGTAAGGTGATTCAAGGAACCGGCAGGCAGAGCAGTTACCTTCAGGCCAGTTCCTGCTCCGAGTGTGGGGCGAGGATGGGCGGGGCTGCTGGGGAACAGGGAGGGGCCCCCCACCCGCCCCTGCCTTTCTGGATGAGAGCTCTAATTATGTGAGAAACGAGTGGGCAGTCACCCTCAGCAGCAAGGTGTCCTCCTCTCTGAAAGATGCTTATTTACGAAGGAAGGCATCTGGGATCTACACAGTGAGCACCAGGGAGGGGTTGCCTAACCTCTGAGACCGGACTCTGGGGGAGGTGGGCCCTTCCTTCAGCGAGGCGCAACACTAGATCACGCTTGAAAAGCTGGTGCCCTCCCCACACGGGACAGCAGGCGGGTTTGCGGCCCTCCCCACCCACGGGCCCGTGGCATCTCCCCACTTACGGAACAGCCACCATTACCTTTCCAGACAGAGGAGCCACGGCCGGTCGCTTCCTTTGTGCGTAGCCAGAAAGTCGGTAACAGTAGTGTGGCTTACAGTAGAATTTACCTGCAGACGGCAAGAAGCAGGGGAAGAGGGGGTGAGCCAGAGCCTGACCCTGAACTCGCCTCCCTGGTCTCAGCCCCTCCTCTCCATCCCCTCCGGTCACGGAAGGCCATCTGTCCCTGGCCCCAGTTTCTTCCAGGGAGGCCAGTCCCTACCCGGAAACTGATTCCAGCCCTCCTCTGCCCTTGCCTGAGGGGGCTCTTTTCCTTTGGGAATGTGAGGGCCATTGAGCCATCATCCAATCAGTGCCCAGAGCAAAGAAGTGAGGCTGGCTTGGCGGGGGCCAGCAGACAAAGTGGCAGTGTGTGAGGAACAAAGATATGGTCACATGAAAAGCTGGGAATAGCATTTCTGGGGAAACCAAGAATGAATACAAGTGCAGGGTGGGGGCGTGGAGGCTGCAGGGGTGAGACATCACTGGGCATCCGACTCCACAGGCCCACCTCTGCTGCTTCCCACTCCTGCACTCACACACCCCTCTTCCCCCACCCACGAGCCAGCGCTGGGCCAACTGCAGGTTATGACCCTTTAGAGGGTCAGGATCTGCACAAACAACCACACAAAACAACAAACAATCCTGTGAAGGACTCTGAGTAGTATGGGACAGAATAAGATCCAGAGTGCGCTGTGGCATAAGAGCTAAATATCACTTCTTAGAACTTTCAGCTATGTGCACATGCGTGTCCTGGGTCCTAATGTAAGTCCCCAGTCTTCGCTACTGGGGGTATGGTCAAAAAAGTCTGCATGACACTGACCTCTGCTTTTCCCATGACACTGGTGGAATTAACTTACTTTCTCTCTTTCTTTCCTCACACTTAAAGAGCTAATGCTAATGAACATCAAATGACACAGACCGTGTTATAGAAACTGTTGAACGGGAGTAATCCCATTTCACCCTTCTCATTTGTAGACTGCTCCTTACACAAATGAGCTTTCCTGGTATCAAAGTTAAACTTAAAGAAAATAAAGAGCCAGGTGCGGTGGCTCAAGCTGTAATCTCAGGACTTTGGGAGGATGAGGCGAGAGGATTGCCTGAGCACAGGGTTCAAGACCAGCCTGGGCAACTTGGCGAGACATCATCTCTACAATCAAAAAAAAAAATTAGCTGGACATGGTGGTGCGTGCCTGTGGTTCCAGCTACTTGGAAGGATCACCTGAGCCCAGCAGGCTGAGGTTGTGGTGGCCATGAGTATGCCATTGGACTCCAGCCTGGACAACAGAATGAGACCCTGATTTAAAAATAAAAAACAAAAAAACAAAACAGGTTCGAGACCCGCCTGGGCAAGTTGGCGAGACCTCGTCTCTACAATAAAGCAAAAAAATCAGCCGGGCGTGGTAGCGCGTGCCTGTAATTCCAGCTACTTGGAAGGCTGAGGTGGAAGGATTGCCGGCACCCAGTGGGTCAAGGCTGCAGTGGCCGGGAGCGGCCACTGCACCCCAATCTGGGCGACAGAGTAAGACTTCAACTCAAAAAAAAAAAAAAAAGAAAGAAAGATGAGCCAGGCACAGTGGCTCACGCCTATAATTCCAGCAAGTTAGGAGGCGAGAGGATTGCCTGAGTTCAGGGGTTCAAGACCAGCCTGGGCAACTTGGTAAGACCTCATTTCTACAATAAATAAAAAAATTAGCCAGGCGTGGTGGCACATGCCTATAGTTCCAGCTACTTGGAAAGCAGAGGCAGAAGATCACCTGAGCCCAGCAGGTCATGGCTGAGGCAGCCATGAATGTGCCACTGCCCTCCAGCCTGGGTGACAGAGTGAGACTCCAACTCGAAAAGAAAAGAAAAGAAAAGAAAGACGAGATGGCATGTTTCCTCTTGCCCCTTTACCCAGTGATTTGATTACATCTTTTCCATCTTGCCCATCTTTCTTTTTCTTTAAAGTAACTTCCTCGCTTTTCTCTTAACTGCACTTCCCATCCTGTGTTGAATAAATCAGTTAGAAAGAAAGGTGACGGAGTTCCATAGGTCTTAAAGGATATTCATCATATACAATCTGTTTTCACAAGTAGAATGTTGCACTAGCTACTGACACTTAACCAGGACTCGCAGGCAGTACATCTGTCATCAGGAACACCTGACAGCCAAAGGACCATCAGTCTCACTGCCTGTGTCTCTACAAGAGGAGCTGAGTCATGGGCTGTCACTTTCAGCTTGGCCACAATTTCCTTTCACAATCTGTAATAAGCCACTCTGCTTTTGTGAATTTTGGTCACCAATAAAATAGGATATATTAGTATTTGGATCACATACTATTTTTTTTTTTTTTTTGAGTCGGAGTCTCTCTCTGTCGCCCAGACTGAAGTGCAGTGGCCGCTCCCGGCCACCACAGCCTCACCTGCTGGGCTCCAGCGATCCTTCCGCCTCAGGCTTCCAAGTAGCTGGAACTACAGGCGTGCGCTACCATGCCCGGCTAATTTTTTGATTTATTGTAGAGATGAGGTCTCGCTGCCCAGGCAGGTCTCGAACCCGCGGGATCTGGCAAACCCCTCACCTCAGCCTCCCAAAGGCGCGGGATTACAGGCTGAGCCACCGAGCCCGGCTACATACTACTTTTTTGGGTCTGTTTGTGTCGTATGGTGTATGTATCTCCTCACACCCATTCCCAAACTCAACTTGGTTGCAGTTTGTTTTCTAAATGAAAAATTCAAAAGCTTATTATTATATTTTTTTTGGGGGGGCGAGGGATTCGGAGTCTCACTCTGTTGTCCAGGCTGGAGTGCAGTGGCATGCTCACAGCCTATCTGCCCCCTCCCCCACGTGACTCTGCGGGGGGCTATCAGCCATGAGCCTGATATGATCCACGACCAGCCCTCGCCCATGTGGGACCCAGGCCCTACCGCCACCTCAGTCCAGGATGGGGTGCTTTAGGGAACGGCATATGAATAAAGGCAGGTTAACCAGAGTCACTCTGGGGGACTGTCATGATGTGAGGGACAAAGGGCAGCCCTTCTTTGAAGACTGCACTCTGGAAGGAAAATACAAATCTAATGCTTAAACTTTCATCTGACTTGGGCTTCTGTTACTAAGAGTCTTATTTATTACAGTATCAGAAAACTAAAACTGCTATCATTACTGTCATTCCTTCCTTCTACTTTTTTTTCCTACACTCATTTGCTTTTTTCTGCTAAAGACCCTGTACCCTAAAATACAATTCAGTTATATCTGGGTGTGGTGGTGTGCGCCTATAGTTCCAGCTGCTTGGAAGGCTGAGGCGGAAGGATCGCCTGAGCCCAGCAGGTCGAGGCTGCAGTGGCTGTGAGCATGCCACTGCTCTCCAGCCTCGGAGACAGAGTGAGACTCTGACTCAAAAAGAAAACAAAACACAACTCAGTTGAACTCAAATTTAATCTTCACTGAACCCTGTTCTAGTATCTTACGTTAATAAAGAAAGAGGTTTAAGTTTCATAAACAAGTTCCACAATCATAATCAAAGGTAATTTTCAAAAATGTTCCAGAATATTGTTTTCTCTAGGAAGGCTATGTATGATGCAAGGGCCAGAGCACTAAACCAGATCTCAGTTCAGTTATGATCTCAACCACTCAACAGTAGTGTGACCATCTAGCCTTTTGGAATATTATTTCCTCAAATAGAAAAGATAATCTCATAGGTTGAGATTACTAAACAGGGTGTCCCAGGTCATATGGTGTATGTATCTCCTCACACTCATCCCCAAACTCAACTTGATCGCACCGTTTGCTTTCTAAAATGAAAAATTAAAAAGCTTATTATTATTTTTGCGGGGAGGGAAGGTTTAGTGTTTCACTCTGTCATCCAGGCTGGAGTACAGTGGCATGCTCACAGCCACCACAGCCTCTACCTGCTGGCTCAGGTGATCCTTCCGCCTCAACCTTTCAAGTACCTGGAACTACAGGCACACGTCACCATGCCTGGCTAATTTTTTTTTTTTAAATTATCGTAGAGACAAGGTCTCACCAAGTTGCCCAGGTTGATCTCGAACCTCCGGGCTCAGGCAATCCTTTTGCCTTGGCCTCCCAAAGTGTTGGGATTACAGGCGTTAGCCACTGCACTCAGCCAAAAAAGCTTACTTTTATTTAATGTTTACCACGTGCCAGATATGATTTTTATCTGCTTTATATCTTTTTTCTTCGCTTTTTTCTTTCTTTTTTTTTTCAGCTGGAGTCTCATGCTGTTGCCCAGGCTGGAGTGCAGTGGCCGCTCCCAGCCACCGCAGCCTCAACCTGCTGGGCTCCGGTGATCCTTCTGCCTCAGCCTTCCAAATAGCTGGAACTACAGGCGCGCGCTACCACGCCCGGTTAATTTTTTGATTTTATTGTAGAGATGAAGTCTCGCCAAGTTGCCCAGGCGGGTCTCGAACCCGCGGGCTCACGCAATCCACTCACCTCGGACTCCCAAAGCGCGGGATTACAGGCTAAGCCACCGAGTCTGGCCTTCTCCACTTTTTTCTAAGGTATTCTTCTAGAGAAATAACTGCTTTACATCTATCAACTCATTTAATCCTCCAACAACTCAATGAGACAGGTACCACTGTCACCCAACTTTTTCCTGTTGAGGCACAGAAAGGCTAGGGCACCTGCCCAAAACGTCTCATAGTCAGTAAATCTAAGACAGGATGTGAACCCAGGAGGCTGGCTCCAGACCCCACACTTTTGGCTGCTATACTCAACACCTGTCTCAATCAGTAAACCCAGTCACGCTTCTGTTATAAATTAACTGCAAATCACAGGTGACTCAGTCAAGGGACCAATTTTCAATGGTCTAAATTAAGGATCTGGACAATTAAATACGAGACTGATTAGAAAAGAGAACTCAGGAAAGCAGATGGCCACAGGGTATGCCCAACGTACACTAGGCCATTCATTCATTCATTCACCAATAGACAGGTACTAATCTAAACACGGAGAGTCCTCCAGGCAAGAAGACAGACGTTCTCTGTTTGGATGGAGCAGCAATTTGCCTGAGTATCAGACAGCAGTGAGCACTGTGTGGAGCACTGAAATAGGTGGCATGCTGAGCCTTGCCTTGCCATGCCTGGGTGGCTGCTTCCCACCAAGAGGGTTGGGAATACCTCATGAAGGAGGGGACAGGTGAAGCTGTGAGTAACAAGCAGCTCATCCTGCAGAGATGGGAGAAGAGCCTTCTAGGAGAGGAGACAGGTGAACACAATCCTAAGGGAGCAGAGGCTTCGTCATATTTGTGGTACAGAAAAGAGACTGGTGTAAAGAGTGCAGTGAGTGGGGGCGGCTGGCAGCAGAGACGGCAAGGGTAGACATGTGATGTTCTCTCCACCTAGGATAAGACTGCGGCTCTGCATGGTAGTGGCTAGCAGACTGGCGAGATCTGAGTTATACCTTTTGTTTTTGAGTCGGGGGTCTCACTCGGTGGCCCAGGCTGGAGTGCAGTGGCATGATCACAGTGTTGACTCCCAGGGCTCAGGTAATCCTCTCCCCTCGGCCTCCCAAAGAGCTGTGACTACATGCGTATACCATCATGCCCAGCTATTGTTAACATTTTTTATAGAGATGAGGTCTCGCTGTGTTGCCCAGGCTGGTCTCAAACTCCTGGGTCCAAGCGATCCTCCTGCCTCGGCCTCCCAAGTGTGAGGCACCATGTCCAGCCAAGATCTGAGTTACACCTTTTAAGATCTCTGTCTGGGGTTGCTCTGTGGAAATAGACTGAGGAGGTCAATGGGTCAGTGGGAAGGAGACTGGTGGTCTGGGCAGAAGAAGCAGTGGCTGGCTTGGGTGGTGCCAGCAGGGATGAAGACTATTTCAGGCTTATCACTGCCGAGGACAACCCTGCGCAGACGCCCTTGGCAGGTAGTGTGGACTTTCTCTCCTTAAGATGACAGGAAGGGCCTGATGTGCTGTCTAATTTAGAGACCTTGTCTTAAAAGCTGGCAGTGATCATAAGTGAGCTAGTGTTTGGTGGAAGAAAGAGCAGCTCTGTGTTTGAGCACACTGCATCCTCTAGAAAGGACTGAAGGGAAGACCAAACAGTAACAAGGCTAAAACACAGATGTACCTTGAAGTAGGATTCGCAATCCACCAGTGTGGAGCTGGCAACAGGCCTAGAACCGCTAGCCCTGATCTCTGACCTGACGTGGATCTCAGAGGTCACTCAGTGCAAACCAGCACCTACTAGCTATCTGAACTTGGACAAGCGAGCTATAATTTCTCTGAATTCGGCTTCCTTGACTTCTGAGATCACACTAATAACAATGGCTTCCTTATAGGGCTGTTGTGAGGATGAGGTGGGTGTGATGTGCGTCCAAGGGCCTGGGTTACTTCCTTCCACCACAACCTCCCTGGCCTGGCCTTGCCTTTTCTGAGGCTCTTTATTCAGAATCTGAGTCGCTCAGTAACGTGGATGAAGAGCAGGCTCAAACTTCATTTCCCCTAAGCCTCCCCTCTTGTCTCTGGTTCACTTGTCCTCCGACAGATGAAGAGGAGCTGTGTGGCGGGGATTCGGCTGATGAAAAATTCACCTGGGTTAAAATCAGGGGAGCAGGTTTAGACACACTGTCCCCCCTGCCTCAGTGTCAAGAAGAATGCACTCCACCAGGCTGGTCTCATTCCACCCAAACTCATGGTGGTTCCAGTCTGATCTGCTCTCTTCTCGCCTGGTACGCCACCTCTCCCTCTGTGTATCCACTGGACACATCTCTCTCTCAGTCTAGGCTAAAGGCAGGTAGGTCATTCCAGACTGTTCTTGAGCTTCATTGATGGCTTCCTCCTCTGAACTTCTACAAAGTCACAACCTAGACTGTTGGCTGAGTAATCACACACTCTTGTGTTGTCCGCTATTGCTTCATGTGCACTGGTCTCAACATCTCCATCAGGATGGAAGTTCCACCAGGTGCCATGGCTCACGCCTATAATCCCAGCACTTTGGGAGGCTGAGGCAAGGAGGATCACTTCATACCAGGAGCTCAAGACCAGCCTGGGCAACATAGTGAGACTCTGCCTCTATAAAATAAAAAATACACAAATCAGCCGAGCATGGTGGTGCACATCTGCAGTCTCAGCTACTCAGAAGGCTGAGGCAAGAGGATCACTTGAACCCAGGAGGTCAAGTGAGCTACGACCACTCCACTGCACTCCAACCTGGGTAAGAGAGTGAGACCCTGGCAAACAAAAAAAGAAGATAAGCTTCTCAAGAGAATGTGGCAAAGATGAGTGCTGGACCTCGAGGGATTTTTCTCCCAAGCGGACCCCGTGGCAAGAGGTTACTAACACAACATAAGCATTAAGCGAGGTTGGTTGGGGGCTGCCTGCCAACCCCATCTGGAGATCAAAGGTGCTATCCAGAGAGCAGCTGTGGGGGACAGTGTGGAACAGAGGCTCTGACAGCTGACAACTGACCTTCTTACCTAAACGGCATCTTGGTTCTCCCCCCGGGGGTAAGTGCTTTTTACCAACATAGCAAGAGGGCCAGGCGCTAGAATGCGAGGAGTGAGTCTTTCCCTGCTCACCATTCTGGGCTCTTCTACTGCTCCTTCTGACAGAGCTGCCTGTCCACTCACTATCAGAGGGGCCTGCACGGCCAGTGACTAGATCCTAAGCATGGTGCCCCTCTCCATATGACGACCTCCTCACAGTCAGGACACCACCTATCAGTGAAAGGGATTTACTTCGTGCTGCCTGATGATGACCGACTTCCTCCCTATTAACCTGCACCCCTTCATTACTCTGGGGTCAGTAAGACTGCTTCCCACAAAGCCCTTCAGCATCCTGTAGGAACAGAGACGGGCTCCTCAGTGCAGGGTCCCCAGACGACAGCCAGCCCTCTGTGCTCACCCGGATCTGCCATCTGAGCACAATTCTCAACCTTCTGCCCCATCCAGGTCTTTCCACTGTAAAAACCAGCAAATGCCACCAAACACCAGCCCTCGAACACTGCAGTGAATAAGACTTAGGCCTTGTGCAGTGAGCTCTCAGTTCCTCTGACACGGGGTGAGAAGGCTGATGCCAGAGAGGCAGGAAGCCAGGCATAACGTAGCGATCTTCAAAAGCCAAAGTCTGAGGACCCAGGAGCCTGGCATCTGGTTTCAGTCTGCTGTCATCAACTGTAGGCAGGAACGTGACTTCTACAGACCTGTGATTCCCCTTCGATAAGGTAAAGACAAAATGGCTTTTCTTCACTGTGCTCCTTTCACCTCAAGCTTCTACCACGCTCAGAGACCTCGCTCAGGCCGGGCGTCACAGCAGCCTCTCCGGGGGGTCACTGGGAGCACTGGTCTGAAGGCCAAGGGCGACCAGCACGTGCTGCCCTGACTCCATTGCCAGGTCCTCGCTGAAGCTACGAGAGTGGAGTGGTGCCCACCCACGTGTCCCCAGTCCTGTCATGAGTGCCAGAGCACTTCACGCTGCTCAGAGCACTTTCACACAGGTCATCCCACTTACTCCTCAAACAATTCCCTGAGGCTGGAAGGCAAATGCTAAAGTTTACACCTGACAGATGAGGAAACTGAAGCTCAGAGAGGTGAAATGACTTGTCCGGAGTCACACAGCAAGCTACTGACGGAACGTGCTTCAACGGCAAGTCAGGCAAGTTCTCTGCAGTACCTACATCATTACTTCTAAGCAGGCCCCCAAAACACCCCTAGATTCTTCTACCACAGGTCCTCCTGGGGCCCCATCAGCCCTCTAAGGACATGACTCAACCAAGGTCTAGCTTTCCCCCTCCGCTTCAGTCTCAGACTTACAAATGAGATGGGGCTGGGCATGGTGGCTCATGCCTGTGATCCAAGCACTTTGGGAGGCTGAGGTAGGAGGAGAGCTTGACCCCAAGAGTTCAAGACCAGCCTTGGCAACCTAGCAAAACCTCATCTCTACAAAAAAGCCAAAAAATTAGCTGGGCGTGGTGGGATGCTGAGATGGGAGGATTGCTTGAGCCCAGGAGGTCAAGGCTGGCCACGGTATTCCAGCCTGGGCGACGGAGTGAGACCCTGATTTCAAAAAAAAAAAAAGAAAAGGAAAGAAAAGAAAAGAAAGCCAGCAAGCTTCTATGAAGTCAGGGAAACGATTTTGGCAAGTGCATGCCATTCTCAAGACCATTACTACTGAGCAATGCTGGGATACAGCCTGATGGCTTTGGGAAATACTTATAAGAGAATCTTAGAGATTTAATGAACCAAGAATGGAGGGGGATGGACGGGCAGGCGTGAAAAAGAGGGAGAGGAAGCGTGAAAAAAAGCACACATGGAGGAATGCAGCAAGGGCCCCGAGCTCAGTTTCTAGGTACGGCCTGAAGAGCAAAGCGCCTCACCGTCCTCGATGTCGTAGGCATAGGCCGAGAGGCGCAGGGTGGTGGCGCAGTATTCGCACTTGAAGCAGCTTCGGTGGAAGAACTTGCCCTCAGCACTCAGCCTCTCCATCACGTAGACCCGCTTCTGGCAGAAGTAGCACGTGTCACTGCCTCCCAGGTTCTGCGGGAACTCCTTCTTCATGGAGCCCTGCAGGGGGTGGGCAGGGTGGGACGGGAGGATGGGGGAGCAGCTCAGGGTGTGCCCCTCCTGCAGGGGCACAGCCCTGTCCGCAAGCGAAGCTGGCCTTCCCTAAGCGACTCTGTCTGAGACCAACTACCACTACTGAATGGCCCCAGTCCATGGTGCTCTTGGCTTTCCCAAAGAGCAACGGCATCATGACAGTCACTGCATCCTACGTGCCTCCCGTGAATACTTGGTACAAGGTTGATTCTGAATCAATGTTGACCAACATCCCAGAGAAAACCTAAGTCAACTTGCTTCTGATGAAGGACCCAATGTTACAGCATCTCATAACAATCAAACAAAATTATTTTGACAAAATTTTGTTTTGAGGGTAGCATATATGCATATATATGAGGAGAAACAAAAAAACCCCGGAATTTACTTATTAAAAATTGTGGGCCGGGGGTGGTTATTATCCCAGCACTTTGGGAGGCCAAACCTGTGCCTGAGCCCACAGGTTTGAGACCAGCCTAGGCAACTTGGCAAGACCTCATCTCAATTAGCTGGGCATCATGGCACACACTTGTAGTTCCAGCAACTTGGAAGGCTGAGGTGGAAGGACTGCCTGAGCCCAGCAGGTTGAGGCTGCAGTGGCCATGAGAGTGCCACTGCACTCCAGCCTGGGTGACAGAGTGAGATTCCAGATTAAAAAAAAAAACAGTGCATTCGTTCTAAACTTCAGGCACCTTCAAAGCACTTTCCATTTGATGTAATACTCTCATCAAGAGGCTTTTTCCACTGCTCAAAACAGTTTTGAGCTCATTAATTTTTATGCCTTTCAGTGCTTCTGCCGCTTTTTTGTTTCACCTCTTCCACACTGGCAAAACGTTTCCCTCTGAGGACTTTTCTCATCAAAAGTCACTCGGGGTGAGATCAGGTGAATAGGGAGGGTAAGGCACAGAGGTCATGCTGTTGTTTTGGTCAAAAACTGCTAAACATTCAGTATGGTGTGGGCGGCTGTGTTGTTATGGTAGAAGAACCAGGCACTTTTTGGCCACAATTTGGGACGCCTCTTCTGCAAATCGTGATGGCAACCGTCTCAGATAAAAAATTAGGTTGACGGTTTGATCCAGAGAAACAAATTCTGAGTGTACTCCAAGGGGCCACCCTCCAAAAGATAATTCCAGTTTTCTGGGGGGTCCCCCACTGTGTGTGTGTGTATAGCCGGGTCCCCCGGATTCTAGAGTGATCACTTTTCCACAAAACATTCAAAACAACTGTTGCAGTACTAGAAATTCAGGTATCAAAATTCAGACAACCTCGAAAAAAAATTATCACATGGCATATATTGGCTATAACCTACTGAACTACTCGGAACCAACCAGGCTTGTTTGACCATAGCTGTGTGCTATCTCGCTAGACAGTGCCCTGGAGACATGTCTTACCAGTTCCTTCTTGTCTAGAAGGGTTTTGGGCTGCTCTTTCCTTTGAAGCTGATTGGCTATCTGCTCAGCCAATGAGCTCACTCCGCCCGTGTACATCTTTATATACTTCTATTGGTTGGAGATTATAAAATGGCCAGAATGAAGGGAAATGAGAAAGGAAAAAATAAATACATTAAGAAGACAGGAAAAAAAATTGAAACGTATAAAATGAGTGTGAGGTGCAGCAGCAAACCATGCCAACACAGTGCTCACAAGCAGGGAAACTGGGTGGTAAGGAAACACCGTGTCAGTGTCCACACAGAGGTACCAGCACAGGGAGGACCATCAGCTGCAGGAGAAATGATCTTCCTTAGGGGGAACTTGGTCTTTCACGCCTTTGCAGAATATACAGTTCCAGGGGAATGGGGGGTGGGAAAGACAGGACAGGTGCAAAGAGAAAAGAGAGGATAAAGGGCCCACATCCTGGTACTCAGATGAAATTTCAAGCATTCAAGAGGAACAATCCAATTCTGGGGACTCCCATCAGACAGAAGATGCCCAGAATGACTACATATTTCAAGGTATGGGAGAGGGCTTGGGAAATTGTTTCCTCATTTAGGAAGAAACCAAGCTCATTCTTGCAAAAACTGACTCTCCACTTGGGTAACAGATGTCATTTGCTCTAGTGCTACCTGTGATAATCTGCTTCTTTCTTCTTCTTTTTTTTTTAAGACAAAGTCTCACTATGCTGCCCAAGTCTCAAGTGATACTCCTGCTTCAGCCTCCCAAAGTGCTGAGATGACAGGTGTGAGCCACTGCGCCCAACTTCTTCTTCCTTCTCAACCCTTGGTCCATGATGTGTGTCATACGTAGTAAATACTCCCGAGCTTTCCTCAAAGAAGCCTGGCCAGCCTATTTTCCCTGCTGATATTTAACAGGGGTCTGAGGACAGCAAATGAGGCCCGAGTGATTCACCTAGGTGCTAAGGACAAAGCCTTGTAGACCGGGTTGGGCATGTCAAACACGAGCTGTAGTCATGTACATAAGCTGCTCAGTTAGTCCTGGGAAGTCAGAGATCCAGAAGGAAAACTTTTGTAGGTAAAAAAGGATTAAAGAAATCCAACCAACTCAAATCCCTTTTCTGGCAATTTTGAAGAAATAACAAGAGAAAGCTTCCAAATTTTTATGGTGAGCCACCTAGGCTGCATGCCCTAGGCAGCCCTGCCTTGACCTGTCCCTGGGAAGAAATCTTCTAGCAACTCTGTGTCCAGGTCACCCTACCATGTGGAGAAGGTCATGGTGCCAAGCATGCGTGACACTCCTCTCATGAACTTCGTGGAATAAGGGTGCTCCCTGCCAAGTCAGGGGACCCTGACTGTAATTCTAACTCAGAAATCAACCAGAAGCCTTTATCCTTGGGATGCCAACAATGCCCTTGGATATGGTTAGACCAGACCATAAAAACAGGTATGAGCAGCAGCATGTTCTGGGCTGGGCAGGGACAGACAGAAGTTCTCTGGTGGGGAACTAACACCATGTAGGCACAGGAACAACAAGCACAGATGACAAAATGACCCTCATTTGGCCCTGGTCAAGGCTCAGCTGGGACTAAGGAATCAATTATAATTTGCAACGAAAAAATAAGATTTCCAAGGATTGGTGCCATTTGTCCATTAACTTCGCAGATTACACCTATTAGTGGTCAAGAAAAACAAGGTGGCTGTTAGATGCAAACCTTCTTTAGATTAGGGACATTAAAGTAGCTTAGGTTTGGAACAGACAGACTCCAGGCAGAGCTGAGCAGATAATTTAATAGCTGACACTGAGGAGAAGACTGCACTTCTTTCATTCTGCAGCAGACAAGCCAGACTGTGGGCTGGATGTCAGACAGGAGGCCGGGACACTGAGCAAGTCCTGGGCCCTCAGTGCTTAGTCAGGACCCCTCTCTAGACCAGAACCCATCCACTTCAGCAGTCACAGCCAGGGGCTGCCTGCATGCAAAGGCATTTGTCACATTCAGTTTTCAGTGACGTGGTGACGCTGACAAGCATCCCTCCAAGAGAGGTGAAGCCTCAAGTTCTATTTGTTTCTGGCATGAAAAGCAGATGGTTTCCTTCGCCCCACTCTGATAAAATAGTCGAAATGTAGCAATTGCTGGATTTCTACTGCTGCACACCACACACATGCATCTGCTACCACAAGCATATGCTGTATCGTCTGGGGCTAGTTCAAGGGCAGGAAACATAAACAGAAAGGCAGAGAGATCCTCCGACCCCTCTCCAGCTGGATCGGAGCCACAAAGGCAATTGCAGGGCTCATTCCTCAAAAGATTATGGTCAAGAGGCACCCAGAATCTTTGCGTGCTCACCACTCCACTTGAGAGGTTTAATGACACGATGGTTCCCATTTTGGAACACATGCTATCATGAAGACATCTGGAGTTTAAAAAGCCAGCAACTGAAAAACACTTATCATTATTTGATATGGCTGAATTACGATCAAAGTGGATTTAGATGAACAGAAGTTTACGTGCCAAACACAGTTCAACGAAAGCCAGCAGGCGCTGTAGCTGGTGTGTGTGCCCACAGACCTCACACGCAAGACAGACACACGCACACACAACTGGCCTCCTACAGAGACAGGCCAAAGTCAAGAACTTCGCAACCTCCCTGGGGGCAGAGGCCACTTGCGAAAGTGAGGTGGGCGGAGGCTGCGGTTGTCAGGTCCCCGGCCATGCTACCTGTCGGAGGGAGTCGGAGGAGGGAGAGGCAGGGCGGGTGGAGGAGCGGAGACTAACAGAAAGCTCCCACTGGTCGACAAAAAATCGACGAGGAGGTTCAGGCTCTGGCTATAAAATACAAGATGGAGAAAAACAAAATCAAAGGAGAGGTTAAATCAAGAGTCACACCCTGACTTGAACAGAAGCAGCTTGGCGATTTCAGATCCATTCACTCTAGACTTTTCTCTAAACAACAGATGTAGCGAAAAAATATTTTTAGTTCCCAGGAGCAGGAGTGGCTCATTCAAGGCTTGCATTTTGCTTTGAACTTGTCCTTCCCTAAAGCTTACAGTGGAATAGGCTTTGGGATCTGGCTCCGTAGCTGTGAGCCACCCAGCAAAGCCTCGCCCTGTCGGGCTTGGTAGTCTGCCACCAGCCCTGCTCTGCGTGGGTAGCGCTGCCAGCGGGAGGCAGTGGAGCGGAGGCGGTGTCCTGCTCATGCACATACATGCTCTTTGTCTCTGCAGATCTCTCGTGGGCCCGAGCTGGGATTTCTCCTGGGCATGGAGGGATTCACCGCCCCTCACTCCATTGGCCTTCAGAGTAGCAGGCAGTAAGATAGCAGATCAACAGTGAAGTTCCCTCCTTTCGCACGAAGGCCAGGAATGGGAAATCTCTTCCGTCCCCTGCCAGTGCTCAGAGAAGCTCTGCTTGCCAGGGAGCGGGCCGAATCCCAAGCAAGGATCAGAAAAAGGCCTCGACCCCCAAGTCCTCTGCACACAGTGAGTGTAGCCAAAGGGGGTGAGGGCCTTCCAGTAGCGAGGAGCTCTCTGGTGCCCAGAGAGAGAGGAGGTAGCCAAAAGCTCTGGCAAACAGCAGCT